CCCGGTTTTTATTTTTTTTTTAAAAATAAATTTTAAAAAAAAATTGGGGGGCTCTTTTTTTTTTTTTTTTTTTAAAATTCTTTTTCTCACCATTTGAGCAATGTGTTTGTATGGAGGAGGAGATACCGGGCCAACTTGTTCCTTTACCTTTTGATCTTGAGCACATTGAAACATTTTTTTATAGCGGGCTTTGAATGAGATATTTGGCAATATGATCTTTACTTTTTCAGGGGTATAGTGGATGGAGAGTACAATATTTAAATACTCATACAGAGCATTTTTTGACAAGTTAAGCAGAAGATTTAGGGTACCTCTTTCTTGCCTTGTTTGTAGGTCCCTTGGTCTCCTTACTCAGTTCACCTTGTGCAATATATTTTATTGGAAGTGATTTCGAAGTAATGTTATAAAACCTCTTCTTTTTAATAGTTGTTTTTGGGAACATATTTGCCTTTTAGTTTGATGTACACTTCTGTGTTTCTTTTTAAGAAGTTGACTTCACGTAGATACTTCATTTCCTTGAATGCTTGTTGCCTGATTTAGAGAAATTGCAAGCAATGAAACTGCTCTAATGAGAGGAAAGCAGATAATGTTGAACTGTATGTATTAACGTGATTTTCCTTTCTGTTTTTGTTTTTTATTTTTTTCAGGAGAGAAATAGAAACAAACAATAACTATATGGAGATGTCCTGCTAGAATTACAACACTAATGATGTAGACTCTGGAAATGCCTAATATGTCTAAGAAGACGTTATTAAAGCTTTTTTCTGCTTAAGGTGACATCTTTGAACACTTTAACACAAAATTGACTCTTCTTGTAATGGTTCTCATCAGTGCATCTGCCCTTATACTCTCTCACCAAACACACTTGAGAACTGTACCTTCGTCAAGCACTTTCTGTCCTGAAGCTTTTACCAGTATCTGCTGTCTTTTGTATTTATGCATCCTAGCTAAGGCACAGGAGACGGAACGAATGCAAGGATTCATTAACTCTTTGAATTTGTTAAATACTAACATTTAACCATTAGAAGTGGTTCAATGATGTGAGATTCACATTGCTTCAACTTAATTTTTTCTTTGTTGTAGTTTTTTTAATTGTCAGTTTTTAGCTATTCAACAGATTAAAAGCAAATCATGCCATATTTAGTCCTGGAGTAAAACTCAAGTCTAAATGTTCATGTGAAAATTATTGTAGTAATCTTTTAATATGGCAAAGCAACTTTAAGCTGCAGTTTAGCCAAATGAAACGTAACATAAAATTATATTAGAATGACATTTCCCTTGTTTCAAACTGTTTGGTGTAAGAGAATATTAATATGCAGCTTGGTGGACACCACCAGTTAATGCACATTTCTTTATTTTTTTTCTGTAACATGTATACTGAAAAAAGTGCATTTGTCTGAGGAACTGTTTGTTTGCTACCACTCAATGAATCTCAGTTTTGAGTAAATGTACCTCAGTCTAAATCAGACTTTTTATGACCTTTATAACTACATTTAAAATAATCTTTAATTCCTATTTCTGGGTGTTTGCAAGCCTGACAGATTGCTATCATGAAAGTGAAAATTTACTCCTCTAGGTGATTCACTAGCTAAATAAACATAATTCTTGTTTAGCAAGCATATACTCTGTTTCTCAAATTTTTTTGTTTCATTGGGTGTTTTTTCCCTATTCGAAAATATTTTGAGAAAAATGCTTTGATCCATGGAGATGACATTCATAGCCATGTTAACATGATTTTTGTTAGAACCATGCAACAAGAATTTTAGAATACATATTAAACTGGGTAATTCTGTACTAGTTTTTAACTTCTAAAAATTATATCTTTTGTTTCAGTTTATATAGCAACACATTCTATCTGCTGGAAGCGAATATTAAAAAAATGTTAAGCGGGTGTATTGACTGTACAAAATACTGAACAGCCTGTACCAAACTCCAGGGATAGCTTTCTCTTTTTAGAACGGCAATGTAGAAGTCAGATATGTTATAGCTTAAAATAGCGATACCAACTATTATTTGAACATGTTTCATATCTTACTGTCCAACACAGATGTTTATATTGTGTTTTGAGTCCTACATTTACAGATTCTGAAAATCAAAGTTCTGGAGCTTAAGTGGGAAAGGTTTGTTTTGAATACAGACTATTTTGCTATGTTTTACTTTCTCTCTTTTTAAGCCCCTTGTACTCTTCTAACCTTGCAAACACAAAAAGTTCAGTACACACTTATTTCTTGCTCATTATTTAAAATATTGTTTGAGACTGCAGAGTGGCAGATATGAATCTTAATTTTTACTGCCAGTTTTCTGGAAGCTCAAAAGGGAAGCCACTCCAATATTTTGAGAAAAGAAGCATTCTCACTTAAATGCAGATGTGTAACAAATAGCAAATGGGGTAAGGGAGGGATAAGCAAAGTGCATGTTGTAAGAGGAGACTAGGAGATAAAGGTTTCAAGCCCAAACCATATGAAATTTGGCTTGAGCCCAAAAATGTCTGCTTCCATGCGTTTCTGTTTCTTGCTAACAGGTTTTATGGCTATTTTTTTTCCCCTCTGTTGGCTGATTTATGGATTACTGCCTATTATTCTAACTGTCATTGATCAGTTGAAGTGGCAAAGGTCAATGTTGTGAGTCCAAAGAATGTAGTCCTTCTGATGATCCTTCAAGGGATCAGCATGTTTCTGCTTCTTTGTTACAAAAATATCTTATGAAAATGCACAGAAGTTTCCCGTTAAAAGAAAGCTACTGTTAGAGTCAGGCATTCAGGAATTGATTGCATGTGCAACCTTAGTTTGCTTCCACTGCAGTATTCATATTTTTGCAGGCTTTGTTAGTATTTCCTGCTTTACCCCTTGCCTCTTTTATTCTAATAGCATGAGCATTGCTCTTGGATTGAATCAGGTTTAGTATAAAATGGGTTCATCACTCTGTTGCAGGCTTTGAAAGCTTGGAAAATGAGACAGGATTGTGAGACAAGGAGGTGATCACATTTAGAGAGCTGTGACAGTTCTTACACTGTTTCAGGATTGTTAGCAAATCTACAAATAGAAGAGTTTCATTGCTGATGGTGTTAGTCATGTTGTGACCGATTTGTCGACTGCTGAGAGTTTAGTATGTGCAGCTGAAATTAAAAGGAATTTTATGTGCATATAAAGTACTGTAAAAATAGTATATAACATTGTAAAATCAGCTATGGAGTGCTGTACTAGTTAATGGACATGTGAAACTTCTAGCCTTCAGCTTCCTTATGCACGAGTTCTTTTCCTCCAGAAAGACAAGGAATGGTGCTTAATATCTCAAATAAATGTAGAAATACATTTTTTGGTCTGATTTTTCAATACAGTGAAGTTGTTGTAATGGCTGCTTGCTAAGTTGTTAATGGAGGATTCAGTGGAACCCCTTTTCCGTTCCTGATGCCGCCTCCTTTGTGTCAGCATTTGTTTTCCTGTGATCCACACTGAGCCAGTTCAAGACATTTTCTTCTGGTTTAACGGTCTGAGCAGCTCTCTCTGAGGTTAGATGTTTAGAAGGGAGATGGTGGGAGGGGAAGGAAGGAAGGAGATTTGTCCTTCCAGAAGCAGGTACCCACTGTTGAATAGACTTAGCTGCACTGTAGCTACACACCTATGGGGTGGTGAACCAGAGATGCAGCAGAATGTTTAAAACTGGGAAAGGCTCCCCAAGAAAAAAAAAAAAATCAATTCTGTGTTCAGTGTAAGATTTCGGTAGTGTACAGTGAGATACGATGTTATCAGACACGTTTAGTGATATCAGGAGGAGGGAAGAAATGCTGAGTATTTTCCATTTTGACTACTTTCTCCGCTTTGAAGAGACCTGAGAATTCATATAGAAAAGTTATTGCTGAAAGGCTTGTCCTACCAACACAAGTGGGACAAATTAAAGTTGTATGAGCTTTGCTAACCTTTGAGTGTCTCTTTGTAACATCAGCATCTTTAACATAGGTTTTTTAGTATTTGACTTTGACAAGAAATAATTCCTGGCAGTTAAATGCTCAAGTTGCTGGCTTAAGAAAATCATGGGCGCTACTTTATTTTGAGGGACTCAGATTGGGAAAAACTTGATATTCACAACTAGGCAAATTTCACTGCTTCACGTCTCTTGCTATTCTAGGCTTAATTCATCAAATACTTGCTTCTGTACATCCTCTTGCTCTGTTTTCTTCTTTTTGGATACTCTGGCAGTTTCATAATGCACTGTCTGCAAAATTTGGATGCAAAAGCCCCTTGCCAACATGATTCTCGTCCCAGACAAATCTGTGGCGCCAAACAAAAGATAATGTTGAGCTCTTGGTCAAATACAAATAACTTACTATTTAGGAAGAAGTATCTTAAATATTTGTCACTTTTTAGTCAAAGTTCTGTTTTGAAGTGCTTTCTATATCATAGGAGATTTACAAACTTGAATTATATTCCTTAAAAAAGAAGTTTTAAACTGTTTTGATGTACAGGTATCAGTGCATCTTTCCTAGCTGAAACTGAGTTGAAGCAACAGTGTTTTGAATTCTGTAAGTAGCACTTCCCTAAATTTTTCAAAATTATTGGCTGCTCTTTCACCGGAAAGATAATTAAATATTTCAGCTGATTCTGGCGCAGCGAAAATCCAGTGTGGACAGTCTTTGCATTTACTGCAGCACTGATTTTTAAATGAATAATTCTAGACATTCAAATACAAACCATCCTTTAGGAATGGATTTTATGTTATTTTCAAAGCCGTTTCAACTCGTTTTTCCAACTACTTTGTTAAGGAAATACACACCAATTTTTCTTGTTTATTCTTTTGCCAGGTGAAGATCCATATAATTTAGTGATAAATTCAGAGAGACTGAGAGCAGTTCTTTTCCATTCAGTTGCAGCAAAACCTGATTTAAATTTTGTTCGTTTTTGTGTGCATTAGAGTATGGTAACTTAGATGAGAATTCTTTGGCATGAGAATTGACCATTTGATCTTATTGAATTTGTTTGCAAGTTTCAGTGAAAGTAACCTGTTCACATCCTTATTTATTCTATTTTCAGCCTCATATGTCTGCCATAGTTTAGCATCAGAGAGGAAAGAATTTCTATATGGATCATAGGAATTTTAAGTAAATGAGTTTGGCCTCTTATACAAATTACAGTATTAGTGTACAGCTGACATGTTTTCCTCAAAACATCTGTTCTATACTGTCTGTTCTTCTTTCTATATTTTAATAAAGTGCATTTTAATATGATGAATATGGACCTTTCAGTTCACAATGTCCAATTTGTATCCAGTCCAGGCTTTTGACAGTATTTCTCTTCACATAATAATCCTGAATCGTTCTTATTAATGATACTTTCAGTGTCCAGGGATCTCTAAGCCAAATATTAATAATAAAACTTGCTTTATTATTTACTTGTTTATTAATGTAAGGGGATGCATAATGTTTGTATTACCTGTTCTTTTCTGACCTTGTCCTTCCCCACAAGTGGAAATCTGACAAGAGAAGTCAGACACCAGTCGGATGTCTCCTCCAATCGATTTCCGTATGTATTTCACAAGAAACTGTTTTGCCACACTGCAAGCAGAGTGCAGATGGGTGGGTCTTCAAATATCTTCCTCCAGAAATCTGTTCTTAGTCAGATGTTCAAGAGGTAGTGAATTTCTTACTCCCATCTAAGTAAGCATTCCTTCCCACTTCCCTACCCTTTCTGGGAAGACTCCACTGTGTCATGTCTTTTGTCTGCTGCTTCCTTTGGATGCCTGTGAGGGAAGCCTGGCGCTGGATGCTGTTTTCACAATCTACAAAAAAGTTCCTGACTTAACGTATTTCCTTCTCTGGACAGAGGAAATCTGGCTGAGCTTAGCTTGTCTCAGCCTGTTTACCACAATGTAAATAGAGAAATATTGCTTTAATAACTGGATGAATTCAGTTTCCCATGTGGTGTATGCCACTTTTTTTTAATTTAACTCTGCAGCATTTTTGTTCAGAAGGTGGAAAGGGACATGATTTCATTGTAATTTTAAAGGGCATACAGTTATTTAAACACAAGGGTCTACTCTAACTGTTCTGAATTTTAGTGGTGGTGATAACCAGTGTGTTAACAGTGAGAGTTTATAAGCTGTTTGCATATCCTGTGTGCATTTGCACTTGTCATCTTAATACTGAATTAACTTCCTTTGCCTGTAAAATTAGTTTGTAACACTTGAGAAACTACTTTTTTTTTTTTTGTTTTGAATTTCATCCACTCTGAGATACTATAACATTTCATCTGCTTGCACAAGTTTACGTGCATCTTGAGAATGAAGTGGATGTTCATGTAAAATGAAACAAGATACTCTAGACTGATGACTGTATTTTAAGTTGAGCTTGTGGGCTTTCAGATGAACAAGCTGTCTTGATTTGTGCCCTCATATGTGAAGCATTACACTTTAATCTTGAACTCTGAATTTATGCATCCTTTCTTTCCTGTTCTGCAAACGTCTGAAAGAACCTCAGATGTTAAAAAAAGAAATCCTTGCTTTATGCTTAGTCCAGGAATAAAAATTTCCAAACTAAGCGTTTGAGCAAGCTAAATGGAGGTTTAGCTTTAGTTTGAGCTAAGCTATTACATTTCAGCAAAAGGGTAAGATAAAAGGTTGTGGATCTTT